CGGAAGCAAGCAGGCAGGCGAAGGCTGGGTGCCGCGAGCCCGGCTTCCTGCCGTGCGTATTTCCAGAAGCCGCGGAGCCGCGGACGAGCAGCGGGACCGCCGTGTGCCCGGAGTGTCGTTCCCCGAGAAGTGGCCTGGGGAGGCCTGCCAGGCAAGCGAAGGGACCTCGCTGGGCACTTGCTTTCTCTCTCTGCCGCTTTCCGTCTCCGAGCGAAGCGCTGCCCCTCCTGGGGCGTGTATGTGGCCGTTCCCTCAAGCGGCCACAGTAAATTCGCTTCCGAGATTTTCCCACCCGGTGGGACCTCATCTAATCAAGCCTCGGAAAACCGCGGAGGCAGGTGAAGCCTAGGCCGAGGCTGCGCTCCTGGGAAAACGCTGTGTGTGGTTAAAGCGGTCACGCCGGTCGCTTGCTTGCTGGCTTCTTAAGTCAAGAGCGGAGGGTGTAAGGTCCCAGCCGTTCAAGGAATGCCTCCTTACGTTCAGCCCGGATTAATCACATGCAGTTTCGGGGTTAGGAGCCACAGCGTTATTACTTAACGTGGCATCTCTGCGAATTTTGAACGAGTTCTGTTTAAAAGCACATGTGTGCGGTGCTCAGCACTGAGTTCTAGTCACACGTATTCACTGATATTGCAGAGCGAACGTACAGAATTTTAGTGTTAGACATTTTGAAAAGTTAGCAGGGAAGACGGGCTTCGACGTTATCGTAAACTTGAGTGCTCAAATCTGTTAAATTTTCAAGCAGCTGTAAAGTCCAAACTGGAGTCGGGAAGTGAGAGCCATCCTTGTCATCTGCCATAACCCTCTGCCCAGGTGGGGTCAGCCATCCCGGAAGGCAAGAGGGGTGCCAGGGGATGGTCGCCCGATGGTCGTCTTGACAGACAGTTCGGCACTAAGGGGGCTTTTCTGCTTAAGGACTGGCTGTGGACTCCCGTGCAAGGTCCGCCTCCTTCGAAAGGAAAGCGAAGCATTTCAGGTGAGACCGGATGAGCCTGTTCTCATCGTTGCCAAGGAGGGATAAAGGGAATCTGTCCAATGTAGGCGAACCCCTGCTCTGCTTTCTCATACGTCGGCTGCAGGACAGGCATGTTTGCCCTGGTAGGGAGGGAACCCCATCATCATTGATCTTCTCAGCTCCTCGGGACACCAGCTTCTATGATCGCTGGTTTCAGAACGGCTGCTTATGTATTTCACTGCTCTTCCAGAACAGTGGAAGGTGTCCAGAGTCCCAGGTGGTTCTCAACAGAAATCTGCTCTCTTCCCACCCTCACTCCCGGAAATTTTTGGTTTTGGTTCTCTCAGATCAATACAGCATGAAACATAGACCAACCAGTCCCATAAAGCTCATCCCGCAATTAATCCACTTTAGTGAGTTGATTCATCAAGGCAGGTTGACCAGTAGTTCAGCTCTTAAGCAAGTAATTGTAATGTTGAGAGGCAGGAAAATGATTACAGTAAGAACAGGATAAGCCAGGCGTTTCCCATGAAGAGTATGTCGCTTTCTAAAGATGTCTGCCAAAGGGGAATGATTTCTTTCTTTATAGTTAGGTATATGTGGGGCTTCAGTTTATTGTATAGTAGGAAACACCAGTGTTACTACGCATAATAGTAAGACTAGTGGGACCCCATATATGTTTGAGAGTATTACCTAATTTGTTTCACGCCCTTTGCAATCATTATTCATGTTCTCCAAATATCAACCGTCTCTCATTGGTCCTCCTTAAATAAAGGAAACATGAACAGTTTTTCTTTTTGAGAAACTTGCCCATGGCAGGTCTCCCTGCCATGAATCTTCCTTTTTCCTTCTCTTCTTCTCACTAATAAACTCTGTTTTAAAACTTAAAAAAAAAATAAGGGAAACTTGTCTAGGTTACCAATAATGCAGGTAACACTCTGTTTGCCGAATGGCCAAAAAATCTTTCAGTCAGTTCAGTCTTTTTAACTAAAAAACTGCTGAATGTATCGAGAGAAATAATGTATCGAGTTGCTTGTTCATTTCATTTGTTAATAGTGTCGAACACTGTTCTGGGCTCAGTGTGGACCAAACAGAGGAAAATCCCTAACTCCGTGGAGCCTACCTTTAATTGGGAGGTGGAGAGTAAACAATGAACAAGTAAAATCTGTAGTACATTAGAGATCAATATTAAGGAGGCATGTTAAAAGTGTCAGTGGCATGGGGTTGAAATTTCAGACCAGGTGCTAGGAAAAGCCTCACTGAGATAATATTTGCAAATTTGTCTGGAGCAAGTGAGGGAGTGAGCCATGTGTGTAAGAGGAGACAGACCATTCCAGACTGAAGAAACAGCAAGCAGTTTGCCTGGCATCTTCCAGGAACAGCAAAGAATCCCATGTGCCTGGTACACAGGGAGGGGGGCGGGTAGCAAAATCTGGGAAGGGGCTATTATGGGGTCAGGACATGGAGGGCTCTGAAGGTTCTAATAAATATGTTGGATTTGGGTTTTCATTTCTGGGTAAAATGAGAAAACACTAATTTAAATGGAGCCTGTGGAACATTTTTTCACATAATACCTACTGAACATACTGTGAACTTTAATATTCTTTTTAGCATCGAGGATAACAGAGGTTAGTAAAATGTACAAGGCCACTGCTGTCATGGAAATTACATTCTGGTATAGGGAAATAGACACATAAGTGAATAAGCAAGTAATTCGGCAATTTTTGGTGTTATTAAGGAAAAAATGTTAAGTGGTAACGTAATGAGAGTGGCCTGAAGAGGACTCTGTGATTCACTGGTCAGGAAAAGCCTCGGGTAGGAATCCTTTAAAAAGATCACTCTGGGCTGCCAAGGTTGTGGACCTCTGAAGATGGACCCCAGTAAGGCTGAAGATGCAGGAGCTTTCTAAGAAGAGACTCACCACGCACAGACACTATAGATCGTATCTTCAATGTATCAGAGCAAAGACAGACGTCTGGGACAGCCCTTTCTTGGACCTCTCTTTCCTTCACTGAGTGGATAAAAAGAGGCATTTTCAAGTTAAACAGAGCCACATGTGGAGCCATACAAGGAAGTGAACCACGAGAAGGATATGTGTAAGAGTTCACACAAAACACTCATAAACAAATGCGAGTTGTGGCCCAGGATGAAGAATGATGACTTACATGTTTGGAGACATCTTCTAAACGTTGTCATTCAGTTAATGGAAACATGGTCTGAGAAGAATGCTGCTGGTCATTTAATGGGTATTGCATTAAATCTGTAGATTGCCTTGAATAGGAAGGACACCTTAACAACGTAGAGTCCTCCAATCCATGAGCATGGGATACTTTTCCATTTGTTTGTGTCCACTTTGACTTCTTTGAGCAGTGTTTTGTAGTTTTCGTTGTAAAGACCTTTCACTTCTCTGGTTAGGAAGATGCCGAGGCATTTCTTTTTTGTTTTTGATTTTTGTTTTTTGTGGCTATTATGAATTGTGCTTTTTATTTGATTTTCTGTCTGTTGCCGATATTTACAATATCACTATTTAAAATAGCAAAACCATGGAACCAACCATGTTGCCCATCAAAACTGGACTGGATAAAAAATGTACATATACACAATGGAATACTATGCAGCCATAAAGAGGAACAAAATTATGGACTTCACAGCCACTTGGATGAATTCAGAGTCTATCCTACTCAGTGATCTATCCCAGAAACCAAAAATGGAGTACTGTATGTTCTCACTCATAAGCGGACCCTGAACATTTACTATAATACAATAAAAAAGGAATTGGTGGTAGCTGGAAACTGCTGGGGGGAGGGGGGACACATAACATTAATAAGGGTACCTGATCTCAAACCAGGCAAAGTGGGGACCAAAGGGAGGCCTAAACTTTACCTGTACGATGGCCACTTGTATACCTAATCCTGAATTGTACCCCACATCTTTACAATAAAATAATTTCTAAAAAATAAAAGATCACTCTGGCTTCTTCACAGAGAATGGTTGCAGGGTGGTCAGAATAGAAGACAGCCTAGACTGGGTGCAGTGGCTCAGCCTGTAATTCCAGCACTTTGGGAGGCCGAGGCGAGAGGACTGTCTGAGCCCTAGGGTTGGAGGCCAGCCTAGGCAACTTGGTGAGACCTTGTCTCTATGGTAAATCACAAAAACTAGCCGGGCATGGTGGTGTGAGTGTATAGTTCCAGCTACTTGGAAGGCTGAGGCAGAAGGGTTGCCAGAGCCCAGCAGGTCAAGGCTGCGGTGGCTGGGAGCGTGCCACTGCCCTCTAGCCCAGGTGAGAAGAATGCGACTCCAACTCAAAAAAAAAAGACAGACCAGTTAAGAAGTGGTCCTGGAGACCAGTGAGGACAGTGGCATAGATCAGGGGCAGAACAGTGGCTCCAGAGAGAAGTAAATCGTTTCAGAAGCATTTGAGGACAGAGCTGACAGAATTTTCTAATGAACTGAGTAACAGTTGGAGATGAAGGAAAGGGGGAACTGAAATGATCACCAGGATTCATACTGAAGATGCTGAGTGGCTGGAATAGCCATTTTCTCTTTTCTCTTTTTAATTTTATTTTTTTATTCATTCATTCATTATATTATTTATATATTTTGTTTGTTTGTTTGTTTCAATTTACTTATTTATTATAAAGGTGTGGGGTACAATTCAGGGTTAGGTATACAAGATACAAGCATTGATTATGCAGGTACCCTTGTTGATGAGGCGTGCCCCTCCCTCCCCTAGCAGTTTTCCTCAACTGCCAGTCCCACCCCCCTCCCCTGACAGTTTCCCACTACTGCCAGTCCTTTTCTTATAGCATTATAATTGTTCAAGGTCACCTTATGAGTGAGAACATATGGAACCCAGTTCTTTATTTTTGTGATAAATCACTGAGCATAATCGACTCCAAATCCATCCAAGTTACTGCAAAGTCCGTATGTTTGCCCTCCTTTATGGCTGCATAATATTCCATTGTGTATATGTGCCACATTTTTTTTATCCAGTCCAGCTTCGATGGGCAACACGGTTGGTTCTGTGTTTTTGCTATTGTGAATAGAGCTTCAACAAACATACATGTGCAGGTATCTTTTTTGTAGAATGATTTGAGTTCCTCCAGGTACATCCCAATAGGGGAATTGCTGGGTCATATGAAAGGTCAATTTCTAGTTCTTTCAGAAATCACTGTCTTCCAAAGAGGTTGTACTAGTCTGCATTCCTACCAGCAGTGTAGAAGCATTTCTTTTTCTCCACATCCTCAACAGCATCCATTGTTGTTTGTTTTATTAATGATGGCCATTCTTACAAGGGTTAGGTGGTATCTCAGTGTGGTTTTGATTTGCATTTCTCTAATGATGAGTGAGGCTGAGCACTTTTTCATGTGTCTGTTGGTTGCCCATATATCTTCTTTGAGAAGTGTCTATTCATGTCTTTTGCCCACTTTTTAAAGGGACTGCTTGTTTTTTTCCTTTGATGCGTTTGAGTTCCTTGTAGATTCTAGATGTTAGGCCTTTGTCAGATAAACAATTGGCAAATATATTTTCCCTCTCTGCGGGCTGTCTCCCTGCTCTCTTGATGGTTTCTTTTGCTTTACAGAAGCTCGTTAATTTGATGAGGTTCCACTTTTCTATTTTATTTCTTAAGATATTGGCCTTTGGGACTCTGAATAGGAATTGGTTCCCAGTTCCAATTTCCATAAGGATGTCTTCTGCACTTTCTAATATTCTTATAGTTTGAGGTTTTATGTTTAGGTCTTTGTTCCATTTAGAGTTAATTTTTGCATATGGTGATAGGCAGGGGTCCTGTTTAAATCTTCTGCCATGTGAGCAGCCAGTTTTTCCAGCACCATTTACTGAATAGGTTCTCCTCTTCCCAGTGGTTGTTGTTGGAGGCTTTGTCAAAGATGAGTTGGTTGAGGAATTGAGGCTTTGCTTCCGGAATCTCTATCCTGTTCCATTGGTCTATATGCCTGTTCTTGTACCAGTACCAGGCTGTTTTGATTACTGTAACCTTATAGTAAAGTTTAAAGTCTGGA